TAGTGGAGTAGGTTTAAGTGGGTGAAGTAGGTGATAGGTTTTAACACAAGTTATTTCAACATCTCAACCGAGATCATCATCTCAATCGAGATCGCACTTCCTCCTAGCCGAGGTCATTACCCCACTAGCCTAAGAATTCCAAGAATCTCAATTGCACATGAGCTGTCACGTACCATTAGCCCAACCGTTTTTTTCCACGTGTCACCACCTTACTGGTTCGTACCTGTCACTCGCCATCAAGTCATATCAATCCTACCCACGCTGCCTGTCAAGCATGTTGTCCAAGGCAATTTCATCATGTTTTGCCACCTTTTCGGTTTTTGACAAAACCTTCTTCTAGATTTTCTCTCTCTAAAATGTCTCTCATTCCGCCATTTCCAAATCTCTCGAAGCTCTACAACTACTCCGCTCGTCCCCTTCGGCGAACCTTCCACCGTTCCGTTCCAATCAAGATTAACATTTGACTTCAACGAACGCGACTCTGAAGTCAATTTCTCTGGTCCTACTCTATAAGTCCCTAATTCACTTTCAGTTTCGCCTTAGTTTCTTTTACTATTCTCAACTGTTTTCCAATATGTTCCTTCTTTGGATCATTACAGGTCACACGCTGTATTTGTACTTGTACCTACATCTACATCTGCATCTGCATCTGCATCGCCATCTTATATTTATATGTGAATCCCATTGTTCTACTTGCCTTTGCTTGCATTGATTTTGTTTCTTTATGTTCTTGATTTTATTCAATGTTACTGGAAATTTTGTGTTAATAGTATTTGAAACTACAAATCTAGATGAGTTTTGAGTTACAAAGTATTGGCAATTGTATTCACCCAAAAAAAAGTATTAACAATTGTTTCCATACAAATGTGACCTAAAATGTTAAAATACCAGCAAAACTAACAAATTTCTCTCACTCCTTTTCTCTTACTTCCAATATCTGTACCAAATAATCTTACCCTAGACATTGGACCAACCCAAACCACCATGACCAAAATAGAATTTCATATAATACTGTGAATCCAAAAAAATTACTTAGAATTTTTAATTTGTGGTTCAGATTTATTTTATGCATAGACCTTACAATACAACAGATATCTTAATTGAGCCCAAACATACTTGAAGGTCTTATTTTTTAGAAGAGGACAATAACCTCCAAAAATGGCCAAAACATGGACAAGTAAGCAATTTGTTTTCCATGAATTATTGTTAACTCACAAAATAACAAATTTCAAAAAAAAACAAAAAAACCTCATATGAAATATGTAAACCAATTTGTTTGTACAACATAAGTGCTGATAGTTGACCTGCACACATACCTATCCAAAACAAAATTTTCACATCCCCACATGTGACATGAACCTGGCACTGCCCCATGCGTAGAAAATCTCATTTAGGTGGCAAATAGCTACAAAACCAAAGATTTGCCTCCACATACAGACCTAAAATACGTCACCATTTGAGCGATTAAAAAAGGTAATATTAGCTCTGGCTCCGGATTCAATATAATTTAGCATTTTCCCTCAAAAAATTCAAAATTTTGAAAATAAAATAAAAATTAGAAGGACAAATCCTTAATTGGCTACAAATCCCCAGTCTTGGACCCAAATTAATCTTCGCTTTGAAACTGTTTTTTAATGGGTTGTTTGGAATGTTTTAAATAAATATGTTTTTTTGACTTTTTATAAAATATGAATTGAATTTGAATTGAGTTTGAAGTGATGTGATAGAAAGATGATGTAACTTAAATAAGATAATGTGACTTAAATAAAATAATAATTTTTTAATTTTTTTAAAACACCCCAAATAAGGCCATGTTGAAGTCATGTTCAAGCCATTTACTATCGATAATCTGTGCATTTTAATACTAGAAAGTAAAGTTGGTCTGGTTAATAAAATACTCATTTGCTAGATGTGTTTTCTAGTTACAGTCTAACCACTACGAATGTAATTTCTTGTCCTATTTATTTTTAAAAAATTATTAAAAAACAAAATAAATTTGTAAATACTTTTTTGAAAATTATTTTGATTTTTCTTTTTAGGGCAAATTACAAATACCCTTCAAAATTTGGTAAAAATACAGATTCTTCCTGAGATTTGAGAAATTATATTCCGCCCCTGAGATTTATATTTTTATAACAAATTGCCCTCTGAGATTTTTATTTTCATATAGATTTCCTCTTAATTCGTTATGCAAATTTGACCTTCATGGGGCAATTTATAATTTCTCAAACCTCAATAAAGAATCTGTATTTTTACCAAACCTCGAGAGGGTGTAATTTACTCTTGTTTTTAAAAACACCCACTATTAGGAGAGGATCATGATTGAGACCCCTTCCAATCACCATCCCCACCACCCCACACACACGTGGCGGGTGGTGATTGGAGGAGAAGGAAAAAAAGAAAAAAAAAAAAAAAAAAAAACTGGCCAATCATGTTAAGAGGGGGTCAAAGGAGGTGGGAGGGAAAGGGGGTCCGGAACATTATTGATTAGGATATGAAAAAGATTTTTTTTAATTTTTGAAAATAATTTTAGATCCAAAAAAAATAAATAAATAAAACAACCAAACAAGGCAACATTTTCAAAACTTTTTTTTGCATTTTATTTTTTTATTTTTTTATTTTTTGGTTTAAGGATTTAGGAATTAAACCCCTTTTTTTTTATTTTAACAATTTAAAGGTGTTCAATTAAAATCCCCTATATATAACAACAAAACAAGGCAATATAGCCCTAGGATTAAACACATACAACTCATCCAAATTGGAATAAACTCCGGCAGCTCCAGCCACTGAATCATACTCCTCCACCACCTCCCCACCACCACCACCCTCCCCATTCTTCCTCACTCTTCCCGCAATCACCCTGCAAACCAACATCGCCCTCCTATCACCACCACCGTCCTCCTCCGCCGCCGCCGCACTATCATGCGCCTTCCCGCTCGTGGCCGTCGTGAGAATCCCTTTTCCGGCGTCATTGGGAAGCTTGAACCCATTTTTGATGATGCTGCAGACACTGCAATTGGGGATGGAATTGCAGAGATTGGAAGAGGAGTTGAGGCCGAGAGAGCAGACGAAGGTGGTGGAGTGGAAGCGGAGGAGCTCGTTGCCGTCGGCGATGCAGCGTGGGTATTTTTTGGGGAGCTTGGTGGATTTGGATTTGATGGTGTCTCTGTACTGTTCAAAGTTCGATAGGGTTTTGGGGGTGCTTCGGACTTTGAGAATTCGATCGATTTTGCAGATTGGGGATGATGAGGAGGAGAAGGAGGATTGTTTTCGGAGCCAGCTTGATTGGAATATGATTTCTACTATGTTCTTGCTTGTGTCTTCTGGACCCAATTCGGACACTGTTGTCATGTGAGTTTTGGTATATAATACAAGAGGTGGAGAGAAAAATGGAGTTAGAATGATAATGCATACAAATATTATATATATTAACAAATTTCATAAAATTTAATTACGAAATGAAAAATGCTACCAACTCCACTCGAATTTACTTAAGATTTGTAAAATATGAAATCCATATGCAATAAAGTCAAATCATAAAATGACAATTGTTAGTAATTTTTGAGTAGTTAAATATGAGTTTGTAAAGATAAGACAATTGACCCAGTGATTCATATAACTGTCTCTTCTTGAGATTCTGAGAAGGTCAGATATTCAAGATTCGAGTCGATTTGCAACCTTTTCGTTGTAATTTAATTTATTAATCTCTTATCATCTTATCATATGGCAAAAAAATAAATAAATAAATAAATGATAATTTGATTTTATAGTATTAGTGTTACAAAATTAGATACAATCCATTTATAGGGGTGGCGGTGTGTAGAGAGCTTGTTGTGAGAGGAGTTGGGTCGGGTTTTGTAGTTCTTTTTATATATATATGTATATATATATATTGTTACTACTATTAGTAGTAATAAAAATTTTGAAATCTGTAAATAAAAAATCTACCTTAATTAATGTATTTGTCCAACATTATATGGTAATAATATATATTAAGTGTGTCCCAAAAATATGTTCGAAAGTAAAATTATCTAGCCTTTCTAAAATTGCATGTAACTGTGCACTCGTATAATATATTTTTTGTGATTTTTCTTAAAATTATTCTTAATTTTTAAAGCTATAAAAATAGAAACCATTGTTGATTGGTGAGCCAAGACTAACACTCTATACAGGATGAGCCCCTAATGCTAATGTGGTTGGGGAGGGATGTTGGGGTGGTGATGCCTAGTGGCAGGTTTGAACATCTCTGATGAAGTCGCAGAGAGTACCGGGTATTACTTGCCGGCCAGGGGTATTGAAACCAGAAAGGGTGGGGGAGAGCTCCCTGGTTCCCATGGCCTAGCTCTGTTTTTCGAAATTTCTTTTGTAGAATTTTGTCTTTTAAATATTTTAATAATTTTTAATATTATATAAAATTGTTAAATGTGGTGAAAATCTCTCATATGTAGTTTAATATTTGTTAATATTTTAGAATAAATAGAAAACAGTAAATTTGAGGATTAGAGGATTTGATGCTTAAATTACAATTCTTCCTTTTAAAAACCCCCATTTAGCATTGTGATTCCTACAACTCTTAATTGCCTCTTATTTCTGTATTCCATTAATCTTCATTTGAATTGTTGGTATACAAGTAATGGCAGTAACACCTACATCAATCTTATACTGGGTACATTTCAACATGATGTTGGTATTTATGAAATAAAAAGACAGCTAGAGTTTGGATAGTTGCGTTAATTATATTAGTAAAGAGGGGTATTGTCATTGACAATAAGTGTGAGAGACAGTTGTGATTCAATATTGAGGTATCGATTGAGAGAGGTGAGGCAAGGTTTGAGTGTTCTCGGGGCGCACGGCATTAGAGTGTGGAATATGATCTCAATACTAGTTTCTTGCTTGTGTCTTCGGACCCAATTCGGACTTTGTTCATGTTGCAGTTTTGAGTCGTATGATAAATCAAAAGGTGGATGAGAAAAAATATTGTGCATTGTTAGAAGTGATCTTAATGCATGTACATCAAACTCTCCCTCGCACAATATATACCCTTAAACAATAATATTTTCATAAAATTTAATTACGAATGGAAAATCGTCTACCAACCCACGTCGAATTTACATTTAAGATTGCTCGCTATATAATATGGAAATGGCATATCGCATAAGTCCAAAATCATAAGATGACAAAGTTGTTAGTAATTGTTGGCCCCGATTTAGTTGAGGATGCCGTCGCCTACACAAAAAGACAGGACAATTGAGCTCAATGTCCAATTTCTTCACCCTACGTCTCTTGAGATTTTTGAGAAGGTACAGTTATTTAAGATTCAGAGTCGGAATTGGCAACTTCCCGTTATAATTTAATTGTTAATCACTTATACATCTGTAGGGTATGGCATAAAATAAAATTAATAATAATTTTGGTATTTTCTATTAGTATTAGTTGTTACAGAATTACATACAATGCCAATTTATGGGTTGTGGTGCGTGGCAATGGGAAGTGTGTGATAGAAAGGCGTTGAAGTGAGGAGAGTTGGTGGTGGTCGGAGTGTTGTATTTCTTATATATATTGGGGTATATTAGTATGTATTGTTATATGCCTATGTGGATTATCTAATAGAAAGAATTTTGAAAATCTGATATATAAAATCTACTCTTACTAATGTTTTAGTTGTATCACACGAATAATGAGTAAAATAAATATGATATTAAAAAGAATCGGTGAAGAGTAGGAAAATTTATCGTATTCCTTTCTAACAATGCATGTAACTGTGTACTGAGATTATAATATTTTTTGTGGTGGGAATCTTCTAATTTATGTCTTGTAGTATTTTAAGCAAGTAATATAACATAGATAACGCTTGGTGTATATTGGGCCAAGCACTCCATAAAGGGGCAGCCTCATTAATGGGTGTTGGGTGATGATGCATTGAAATGAGATGGGGAGTTTACTTGGCCCAGGGGTATTTGAAAACCCAGACCAGAAGGTGGGGGAGAG